CTCATGTCGCTCAACATTCATTCAAGAAGGCCAGAGAGAGAGAGAGAGAGAGAGAGAGAGAGAGAGAGAGAGAGAGACGGAGTGTTCTACGGGCCTCCCTCTCTCTCTCTCTCTCTCTCTCTCTCTCTCTCTCAACCGGTACTGACCTGCGAAAGGTGGCACCTTGATGCAGGTACGGACGTGCTGAAGACGAAGCTGGAGCGATGGCCACGCACGTAAGTCTCAGGTAAGTCCCCTGATCTCCATCACCATCTCTCCCTCTCTGCGCTACTCTACTCTACCAGCGCYCAGCGCTGGAAGACTAGTCCTATCGTCGACTACTACTGAACTGCCGTTGTCCGAAGTATGCCTCCACTCAGTCCTCTACTGAATGCCATGATTGAGGCCGAACCCAGCTATATATAGCGCTGGGTCGGCATCAGCTGCTGAGTCCTGGCGCTCAAACTGAGGCTGAGCCTGGAAAGTTTGGCGCCCAAACTGAGGATTGGCCTCAAGCGCCTACTGAAACGGTGCGGTCTCAAAATCAGGGTCTGGCACCAAAGCGCGTGCCAGGGCCTGTAGCGGAAACGAGGCCAGCCGGGCCTCTAACTGGTACCGGTCCTACTCAGGCCTAAGACTGGCATACCGACCCTACGGAACCCTGCTGTGGGTCGAAATGACACAGATTCTATACTCTACGGACCCCTAGCCTACCTGGTCGGGCCCTGCTGGGCCTGTGTGGAACTGAGTATGCCACACTCCCCCCTCCTTGAAAGACCGAGCTTACCTGCGAGGGCGAAGCTGTCTGTGGAGGGAGGGACCGAAGTCTGGGTGGGAGGCTTTGCAGCTTCTGTGGCTAGCCGTTTCTTCTCATAGTCGGCATAGATAAGTGGTGCGGTGGCTTGCAAAGCTGCTCGTGAAATCCATCTCGTGTCGTCGCGCTCGCACCACCTGAATATGACCTTGTATTGCATTGGCTTGTTCGCGTGCTTACGATGCGTGATGACGCGATCGACTTCCTGATGACCATCCATAGAAGGGGGTCCTGCGATCGTCGGCCCCGGAAGCCGTCGCTCTTGGCTGGTGTATATGTGGCCAGCTTGGAGGCGTGGAAGACCGGGTGGACCGGTAGATGCGGCAGGATGTCGATCACAAAAGAAGGGTCATCGGGCTCATCACCCACGACTGATGTGACGGTCCATGGTCCAAACCACTTTGGAAGTAGCTTGCGCGATACGTCTTGTTCATCAAGAACAAACTCCTCCTTGGAGACCCAAATAAGGTCGCCGGCGGGGATAGGGCATGGCACACGACGCCAATTAGCTTGCTGTTGCATGCGGACTTGAGCCTTTTGCATGTTGGTGTGGGCTTTAGCCAACAAGTCCCTATACTTCCGAACGGAGGCAGGAGAACAAGCGGCGTCGATGTCGGCAGTCCGAGGGAATGCAAGATTGGCGAAGACACAACCTTTCCGGCCACCGTGGTGCAATTTGAATGGAGTCACACCGACCGTCGGATGGAACGAAGTGTTGTAGGCGAACTCGATGTCGAGGAGGCGGTCAACCCAATCCTTCTGATCCGGATGGATGAGCCTACAAAGCATCGTTTGAGCGGTTTGATGTGCCCGCTCCGTTTGCCGTTCCGTTTGTGGATGCCGAGCCGAACTGGGTTTCGTCTCGGTGCCGGACTCCTTCATGAGAGAAGTCCAAAATGCTGACATAAAACGAGTGTCGCAGTCGGTGACGATGTCTTCCGGAACGGCGTGGCCCCAAATCCAGTCGGTGTGCAAGAGTCGCACAAGCTCAGGAGCCGTGGCGTAGTACTTGCAGGGAAAAAATCGCACATACTTGCTCAAACGGTCAACGACCGTGAGGTTGCCGCCATGCCCGAAGCGGTCACGAGGAAACGGGCCGGTGACGTAGATAGCAATGGAGAGGTCTGGTTCCTGCGGGATAGTCAACGGGCATAACTCGCCATAGGGGTTGCGATTGCGGGGTTTGCTTTGTCGGCAAGCTTCGCAAGAGTCGCAATATCGAGTGACGTTGGTAATGAGATCGGACCACCGGAATCATTGCCAAAGTCTTGCGATTGTACAATTGACTCTGAAGTGGCCGGCGAGTCATGAGTCCTGGTACTCGCCGAGGAGGCAAGTTAGTAAGCGACGGTCGTGTGGGACGCATAGTAAGTCCTTGCCTCGTGAATGAAGAAGCAAGTAGCCGTCGACGACGCGATAATGGCTGGCCGGCGGGTGATCCGAGGATAAATGCTCATAAAGCGTGGCGTATTCCAGATCGGACTTGTATGCTCGCACAAAATGCTGATGAAGGGCATCCTCAAAACTGAACGTGTGGAGGGTGAGTCAATGCACAAAGATCTGATCTTCACGAGAGAGCATATGCGGCTCGGCTGGAGAGGCTCGAAATGTGTTTCGGTATGAGATCGAATTGGTCAATGATGTACATCCATCGAGCGATCATGTTGCTCATCGTGTCTTGCGTCTTGTAGTAGGTCAATGGGTTATTATTCGTAGCCCAAGTGAACCTACGACGCCTGAGGAGAACTGTCGTTAACGCTTGAGTACCGTGACGAAAGCGAGCAACTCCTTCCTCACGTCATCAACCGAGTTGATGGGAGGCACCTTTTGGCTGAAATACTCAACCGGATGCCAATCTACTCCGTCGTGTTGTTCCAGAACTGCACCTATGCCATAGTCGGAAGCGTCCGTAGTCACTCTCGCCGGCGAGGTGGGATCGTAGATAATCAAGACGGGAGAGAGAAGCAATGTCGTTTTCAATTATGAAACGAACTTCGGACTTCGTCGGTGAAATGGAAAGGCACCTTTGGAGACTGCAATCTTGACAAGGATGTGGCGATCCGTGAGTATCCGCCGATGAAGCGTTGGTAGTACCCGACCAATCCCATAAAAGAGCAAATTTATGTGGTGTTGGTCGGTTCCGGTCAATCTTGGATGGCCTTGATCTTGTCTGCGCGCGGACGGATGCCTTGCGGCGTCACAAAGTGGCCCATGTACTCGAACTCTTGCTGTGCGAAGTCGCACTTGGCTCGATTGGCCTTGTACTTGGTCATACGTAGCCTGTCCAAAACAACGCGTAGATGCACGATGTGCTCGACCAAGGTCCGACCATACACCAAGATGTCATCAAGGTAGATGAGCAAGAACCGGTCCAATATGTCATGAAACTCCGTTGTCATTGCGCTTGGAAGGTAGCCGGGGCATTCGTGAGGCCGAATGGCATTACGACCCACTCGAAGTGCCCGTACCATGTCTTGAACGCGGTTTTGTGGCCATCCCTTGGATGCATATCGAGCTTGTGGTAACTGGCCTTGAGGTCCGAATTGGAGAAGTATTTGGCGCCGCCCAAGCGTTCGAGAAGATCGTCGATGCGTAGGAGCAGGCCGACATTCTTAATGGTTTGAGCGTTAAGCTTACAATACTCGATGCATAAGTGCAACTCCTTGTTCTTCTTCCGGACAAAGAGAACGGGTGCACCGTAGGGGGAGCAGCTAGGGCGAACCCAACGTTTGTCAATGAGCTCATCGTTGCGTTCATAGCTCTTCGAGTTCCTCGTCGCTCATGCGGTAAATACATCCGCGCGGAGGTACGGCCCCGTCTTTGACGATGATCTCGTGACGAGTTGGCCGATCTGGTACGATTCCGGCGGGGGCTTCAAAGACGTCGCCATAGCAGTCAAGAAGCTCTACAATAAGTGGATCCGCTAGTTGTTCCGCTGTCAGCGCGTCGGGAGGAGGCAGGGCGTGCAAGAAGCAAATGCCCATCCACATGCGCAAAGACCGCGTGACAACCAATCGAAGGGTGAGGTGGGGGACTGTACATAGAA